GGGAAAGAAGATGCCTGTTCTTGTATCTCTGGAATGGAAAGCTGAATTCCGAATGAATCCGGTGAAGGGTGAAGGGTGAAGGCAGAAGTCCTACAAGCAGCGGTCATGGAAAGCTTTGGCAGGGTTCGAACCGTCGACGTGAGAATGGTGAGGGAAATCGTACGGCATCTCTCCAGGGGAGAGCCATGCCTCTCTCAACACCTTCGAAACTTCTTGATGCACCACTGCATTGCCATCGGCCGTCAGATGCAGACCATCACTGCTTCCAAAAACACACGAAAACATTAAAAAAAAAAACGAGCTTGTTCGGGTTTTGACAAGAAAAATCTAACCTTTTACATGGGTTACAACAATTGGATGTTGATACTAGGGGGCTGGGTATTCGAAAATTTCGAGTTGCCGAATCCGAATCCAATTGTCTTGGATCTCATTGATATTACTCGACTTTAGATTTGTTTTGATTGGGTATCCGAGATAATTTTCAAGTCCTCGTGATACTAAAACAAGGTCTAAATAGGAAATTTTGATTTTCATTTTTCCAAAATATGCATCATATACTAGGGGTTGGTTCAAGTTACTTATCCGACATTTTTGTGTTACCCGAATGCAAACCGAAACTTTGAGAGATTTCCGTTTAGAACCCGGGTTTTGTAAGTAATTTATTTAAAAACTAAGGGCAAAGGGTAACTTTATTGTTCATTCGGGTGTCCGTAGATAAATACCTGTCTTGGACAATTACCTGAATTCGAACCAAATTTTAAGGTTTTACTCATGACCAAACCCAATCTCATATCATATAATAGCCAAAAACCCAAATGAGTACCCATCAGGTTCTTTTTTCCAGCCCTAGTGGATATAAACATCCTATCAACTTCTTAGTTCTTACATGACAAGTATCCTGCCAAAACAAGTAACAGATCGAGCAGATTTGTTTCACTAATTTGAATTAAGTGTCTTAGAATTGAATTTACGAACCTTAGATACTTTTTGTGCCAGCCCTCGGATTCCTGCATCTTGGACCATAGGTTGACACTGCGGACACCAAGTTCTTTGGCTAATTCAACACATTGCTGTGCATAAATTCCAGCCATTTCATTTGTTCTCTCAGGCTCGTTCATTGCTTTCTCACCATAGACCGATCTGCTCAAAATCACATCACCGACTCAATATAGAAAACGTATATATGTAAAGGAATGTCAGATGAGTCAGAGAGATGGGAATATGCATATAAAAACTCACTCGGCGTAACTTTTACGTCCGGCTTCATCAATTGGTGGTGGGGTTATAAGCACAACTAGCATGGTAGGTGAACATTTCTGTGAACAAAATCATGTTACAAAAATAAACTCATTTTTGAGACAAATGGAAAACAGTTCTGGGCCAAGGTTAACTCCTATCAGAAGGAAGAGGAGAAACATATTATAGCATTTTGATGATAACCAATATGCATTTGGAGCTTATCTACAAAGAATTACAGGTTTGGTCATTTCAATGGCTGGAAGCCTTCAGATCATAAAATGACTGCGAAAATAACATAAACCACGGAACAAATACTTCACAAACTCTTCTAAGTAACGGGAAACGAACCCAAGAACAGGCGAACCACAGTGAGGGAAATAGGAAAACAGAGATAATCCGACCTTCAAATGCTGAACAATTTTTCTGAGGTTATCTTTGTACTCTTCCACAGGTACATGCTGCCTATCACTTGTCCTTCCTTTTAGGGCTGCATCATTCGCGCCGAAGAATATCGTTGTAGCAGCTGGAGGATTCAAAGAGTCCTGAGAACAAATGAAATAAACAACAAAGACAATAAGATTCTTCGTTGATGTACACATGAATCTCCTCCGGACCCTGACTATGAATCAAGTTCAATCCTCCGAAATTTTCATCAATTCTTTCACTTTAGGCAGTGGATGACCATAAATCAGGTGCCCTTAGGATGATATAACAAACTAACCCATCTAACTCGTAGCAGGCCAGAGGACAAACTTGTTCAGACATTCCTGACTTTGATCCGTATCGTCCACGCTTTCAAAAGGTTGATATGTTCGAAACGAAAAAGGACAGACAATCAAATCCATATCCAAGCATCGATGCTCTATATCTTCCATTGTGTCTAGTAGAATCTACATCTACTGCCATAACGATTCCAGGAATCCGGTTTAAACCAGATTAAAGATCGAAACATCCCTAAATGTGACACCTTACACTTCACACCCAAAACAAAAGATCGAAAATTGATTCGAAATTCCGAGAGAGAGAGAGAGAGAATCTCACGAGAGGGAAAATGTGATGAAGCAAGAACAGAGCCCATCTGGTGTTGTAGCCGCCATAGCCACGCACCACCACATCTGCCTGCGCTCAACAAACAATCAATCAGATTGAAACAGCTCGAAAATCACGAGATCGGAATCTCGCCGGTGCCGAATTGCAGAGAGAGAGAGAGAGAGAGAGAGAGAGAGAGAGAGAGAGAGAGAAGACCTTGCGAGAGTAAGTATCGGCGAGTGCGGCACCCCAGCCGCCGGATCTGAATGACTGCTCGGTGATGGAGTCGCCGAAGAGGAAGATCCGTGGCCTCATTCTCTCGCCGGAGACTGCGGAGTGTCACTGCCCGGTTTAGTGGATACACACCAACCGTTTAACAAAAAGATTTAAATATTCATATTTAACTATGATACAACTTGTTTTAACAAATATATATATTTAAAAAAATACAATGAAATTCTATCAAATTTGTAATAGATTTTTTTCTTGTTAAAGAAACTTGTAGTGGATTTTTGTAAGAGATAAGTTACTTTACGTGGCGTTACGTGGCGCAATTTCCAATACAGCAAGAGACGAAAATCTGGTTGATTTGGAAATAAACGAATTCGAAAATGTAAAAAACATCCAAAAGAGGGAAGCGATCGGTGGCAATGGCGGATTTTGCAGCTGTAAACTTTCGATACCTAAGAGATCTCTCTCTCTCTCTTCGAAAAACAAAAATCTGTATAATTAAAAAAAAACAGAGGAAAGAGGGTAACAATGGCGATCAAGGTGCCGAGACGAGAGCTGTTCATCGACGGCGAATGGAGGGAGCCCTTTCGCCGGAAACGCCTTCCCGTCGTTAACCCAGCCACCGAAGATATCATCGGTATTTCTCCGTCTTTGTTTTACCCTCTTACCAATACTCTGCGCCTCAATTGTTGGAACTTTTCTTTTGAGTTTTTTGAGTTTTTTCTGCTTACTGTATGAGCTTGGATCGGTCGAGGTTTCGAGTGTTATTTAGTCAAAATTGGATCATGAGACATGGGTTTTGCCTTTTAACTATTTTCCGACATTGGAGGAAACGGGACGACATGTCTGCGCATACACATACAGATATATGTGTATGTGTGTACCTATGATTTTCCTCATGGTTTGCATGATTTAGATGCAGCTTAAACTTGACCTTTTCTCAAACTGTTATGTAAAGGGCTTGCATTTTGGTTTGTTCCTTGTTGTAGCCATTAGAAGTCTCTGCCCAAGATCATAATCAGGCTTTAGTCAAAGTTCATGTTTTGTGGAACTGGGTTTGCTGGATTTGCAGGTGATATTCCTGCCGCGACTGTGGAAGATGTGGAATTTGCTGTGGAGGCCGCTCGGAAAGCATTTGCTAGGAACAACGGCAAGGATTGGGCTCGAGCTTCTGGAGCTGTTCGTGCCAAATATCTGCGTGCTATTGCAGCTAAGGTATCAATGGATTATGAAATTTATACTCAGTTGGCTTTACTACTGCAATCTTGAATGTTTATCTCGTGATCATATCGTCAAAACCATCTATATCGGGTTCATATCTATCTCCAGTTACATATGATTTTCGAGAATTGCATCTGAATGGGCTTGTTTAAGTTGTTGAAATCAAGCTTTACTTCACAGTTTATGTGTGTATATGCTTATGCAGATAACAGAGAGAAAGTCTGAACTTGCTAAACTCGAGGCCATCGATTGTGGTAAACCTCTGCAGGAAGCAGAATGGGACATGGTAATATGGCATTCCCATCTTTGTCTCGGCGAGCATTCTACTGTTTCAGTGGTTTGTGTTCTTTCTTACATGTGTTGCTTATATCTTACAGGATGATGTCTCCGGATGTTTTGAATACTATGCCGACCTTGCCGAAGGCTTAGATGCGAAACAGAAAGCTCCTCTCGCTCTTCC